CGCAGTGTTCTATCAATAAAACATCTTTGGCGACAGTCTCGGAAATGAAGGAAATGCTAGAAAAGAAACGCTTGGTGTACAAGGATAGTTTATGTGTACAACCGCGCGTGCTACAATGCGGTTATGTTGACACACCGGCTGGGTTGACCCTGATAACGGATGTCGCGATGGAGTTGGCAAGGTGCAAGGACGCTATGGGAAGAGCTAGGCGGGCAGTAAGGCAGGAGAGGGAGGCCGATGTAGCGCAACGTGTAGCTGAGGCTGTGGAGCGGACTAGAGCGCAGCGCTTAACGCTACGGGAGAAAGCGCTTGCTTTCCGTGTGCACCATTATAAGGATGCGACCATTTATCCAAGGTCTCTGTTGGTACGTCGCCAGATTGCGAAGAAAAGAACTTCCGCTCGGCGTGCCGCAATCTTCAAGAAGGCAGCACAGGAGGTTGCACCGTCCCGGAATAGCAATTAGAATTAAAAATTGCAATGTCGAAATGCATCAGCCAGTGAAATGTCCGTGCAAATAATGGGTGCTTTTTCTGTGGTTGCAACCTCTCCGATACCCGGACCGAAAGACGCCGTTCATGCCGATGTATGAGCCTTTTGGCTCCTGAGATCAGAAAAGCAGGTACGTGGAGACTGTCAGTTTTCCAAACAGTCAAAAAATTTTCTCCGATGCCGCTTGCTTCTTGTTTTTACATTTATTTTTCTAATCATGTTCAACTTTTAGGGGGTACCCCACTAGTACGCAGGATCAGCAATGTGCGTAACCATTCAATTTCTGATTTTTTATATCTTACTAACAATTTTCGATTCTTTCTCGTTTTTTGAATATTTTGTTGAAAAGCCCGATCAACTTCAGAACCACAGCTGGCAAGTCGGGACGGAGTCAGACCCGCTAAATGCTCGTCGTTCAAGAATGAAACTATTAAGGCAAGCGGCTAAGAACAGATCTTTGGTTCTTGCTTACCATGAGGCGTTCCCAGATCTTGGATATGTTGTGAAAAGTCGCGAAGGGTCTTTTGATTGGGTTGTCGCCCCGCCCATACTCATCGGAACGGGCGTGGTTCAAAAGTGTATCTCATGATTCTTATCATTCGATTCTTTTGGTCTTGTGATCTGGGATCATTTTATTCTTAAGATAGTGGTCGGATAGTTTCTAAGAAACTGACGGCCGTCTTGAGAAGAAGAGCCGTTGAAGCGCGAGGTATTTCTGTGGATTTAGGGATGATGCGATCATGATCACAATCTCGCTGAGTATAAAAATTGGACCGCAGGAGACACAGCGAACATACAGGAGAGTCAGGTAATTATTAAAGGAGAACTAAAGCATGGAACTGTGTGCCATTTGCCTGCAATCCCTTACTCTTTGCTCCCAATGCATTGGAACACCTTGTGGTCACACTTTTCACAGGATATGTCTTTCTAGAATGATGCAATTCCACTCCGAGAGCGTCACAAGTAGAAGGCATCTTCCTTGTCCTCTATGCCGAGTGCAACTCTCCACAGATGTCGTAAATGCGTCTCTTGTCGAATCTGGTCTTCCGGCTGGAACAGAGGAGGATATACGAAACCTACTGGAAGAGTACAATAGTCCCGCGCGGCATGGAGAGACCAGAACTCGTCGGTCCCCTGGTCAGATTACTAGAACTATGGTTCGGGGGCGGCGAAGAAGGCGAGGAGGTGTGTGGTCGCGCACAACGTCGTTGCGAGTTAGTAGGAGATACCTAGACATGCAACTGACGGAAAGCCTGCGCCAGGAAATGCAAATTCAGGTGCGAGAACAGCGCGAACTCGGCGAGCAGATGCGAACCCTTGAAAGAATTTTGGGTGTACATCAATTTCAGGCTGATGCTAGTGTGAGATATGCGGAATTGCTGAACAGAGTTTTACGATTGGGGCGCCGTCAACGGACTCTGACCAACCTTCTCACCGGCGAGCGTAGATATCCTAGAACAAGGGAAAGAATTCTCGCTGCATGGATGAATGTTTGGTCGCAGGAAGACCAGGAAGGATTCTTCGTGAGGCAGAACGACCTAATTTTACGCATGGTGGCTTTCCGGCATGTGCTCGAAGAAAGGGGCCGGGACCACACTTACGGTGTTCCAAGCATGCGTGCTTTTTCTGCGGCGGTTGTGTGGTTGGTAGCAGGCTGCGTTCTGTGGGCTATATGGAATTTGTTTTAGGGTTGGTGTTAGATTTGACTTGGGCAGATAGAAGTAGATAAACGATTCCTTGTCCGAAGCCGGCAGAACCTCAATGCTTTGACTCCTTGATTTATTCATAACACTTGAAAGTACAGGATACCACAAGTGCTGCATGCCGTGCGGAGAAAAGGTCGTGGACGCTCACGCGGCCTTGTAAATAAAACTTTTTGAATGAGGAGACGTAGCGTCCTATCTTGTTCGCTCTATAGTGCCAAGCTATGAAGTGCTAACAATTTGGAGCAATATTAAGGAGGGAATAATAAATCAGGCACATTTCAAATAAGAAAAGTGTGGTACTCTGGTTCGATCACTGGACATTTGGAGTGACTTTCTTCAAACCTATTTCAGTGAGATACTGCAATCTGCAGCACTCTTAAATTTATGACAGTATAAATAATCGATGCATGAGGTCAGTTTCAATAATCGTTGCAAAGCACAGTTAGCCAAAAGAGGCATGCCCGGCCCTAACCTTTCTGAAAAAAAGTGTAACTATTGAGATCAACTTAGCACTCATCTTATCATCTTTTTAAAAAGTGTTGTATAACATACCCTTCTTAGTAACCAATTCTGTGCAAGCCATTGATATCAGAGAGGTTACCTAACTGAGCAGAGAAATCCTCGTTAGTTTTGAGGAAGAGGAAATCTGTTGCCTGCCTTTTTAAAACGCTGTTGATTGAAGGAAGTCATGTTATGGAGGCTTAGCTTCTGTTGGGGAAGGGATCATTTTTCTCGTCGTCTTAGACCAAATCTACGAAAAGCCTGACATGTGTAGATAGTTGTCCGCAATATTATTGTGGAACGCTTACCGTCATTCAGAGAATCGCTAACTGCGCCTAAAACTTCATTGATTTTCGAGCAAAATTTTAGTCGGCGGATTCGCAAACTATGGGCTGCCACACGTGTCTGCCCTGAAGCATCAATTAGGGGTGTTCCATAAATTCCCCGTGTGCCAAAATACGCCCAAAGAGACATGCTGTGTTGGGACAGGCTCTCAGAGATGAACCTAACCGCGCCTGTAACACGATACTTCTATCATATTCAGGGTCACCCCAATTAGGCTACAAGTCTGTTGTAGAAATACATTTGGCGCAAAGAAGCAAGCTACTGCACGCGTCTGTTCCAATATTGGCGCAAAGCCATTTGGAAGAGCTTTGGTAGAGCTGTAAGCACATGAAATTCAGATGTTTTCTGTACCGTTACTATAGAACGAAGCTCGCCCAAACGGCGCTTTGGACAAAAATCTCGACCAAATAATTTTGGTTTGGAAAAGAATCCTGCCCAAATTCTAAACTTTAGGACAAATGCTGGCGCGGTGGGGTTCAAAATCTCTTCCATCGGTCCAAACTTTAGTACAGGGGGGGGGGGGGGGGGGGGGGGGGAGTCGCGATATAGTGCTACCCTGTGTCAATGGGCCGAAAACGGCACTATATCGAACCAGGCACTGTTAGATAATGAGATTTACGGCTTTTTTGCAGCCACTTCCTTGCATCACTGCTCAGAAAGACCGCTCGCAGGACGCCATCACTCATGCTTTGTATCTTCGCTACAGACTAATCAAGCATTTCTGTTATTAGTAGCTGCCGAGCCGTTGCATTGACTTCCTCCTTTTTCGCAGCCAGAAATGCCAGCCTAAACTTTTGCAGATGTCCAATTGCATCATCGACCCTGCCTTTTTCCGCCATAGTCTCTATTCGAGTTGGCAACTGCATAATATCTTTCCGCGGCGGCAGCGGCTCTCGGGCAGTACACATGTCCATCCAACTGCCTCCCTGGAGACCCTTCGTTTTTGGCTCAAAATTCGTGCCACCCGCAGAAGAGTAGCACTATATCGGAGCTGGCACTAACAAATATGGCACTATATCGCGACCCCCCCCTGTAGTTGGAATTTTAGGACTGAAATTTTGTTGGCGGTGGGGTCACCCTAACGATGCAGTTGAACTACTGGTATCATAGTTATCGTCTGTGTGTAAAATAAATAATCAAATCCATGTAAGCACTCCACGTGTCTTTTCATTCGAGAAGTCCACGTATTCTCATCTGAGCCTCCAAAGGTATATTCTACTGCAGGGCGTACAATAATTCGTTTCTACCAGCCGTTTCATGAGCACACTGTCAGAGATACCCAAGGGTAGCATTCGCTCAAAAGGACATTGAATAAATAAATCAATGAGCACACACCTGGATTGAGCTCCATCTGCCTCACATATAAACTTTACACAAACCTCAAATTTCGGTACAGAATTGAAAATATTTGCGTCCTTGTACTGCAGGCATCTGCCTGAGGTTCGCATGGGGCACCTTGTCTGTGCCTTGTGTAGAGGTCAATTGTCTGCGATGCACATTATAGTGTTGCTCTTTCTTGTCCGAAAATCGTGGCATTTCGTCACCAACAGCAATGGATTCAGTTCTTGTGGGAAACCAGAGCGCTCTTGCCTTGTTGCATTAGAGCTCAAGAGATCTGCTGCCTTCGGTACTTTGGTGTCGCAAAAACCCTTGATTCTTTGTTCGACTCCTATGGCTAGCTGCTTCTTTGTTGCTAATATTTTTCTTCTGTGTTGCTGCCCCGAAAGCTGAGGCTGCTGAGCTACTGAATTAGAGAAACACCGTACGTCATTGTTGCACACTGATAACTACGGGAGCAGCATAAATAGTATAAATAGTATCGGTACTTCACTCCTGACGACGGAGCCTTCTTCCTTGCCTCAGAAGCATCCCTAACCTGCTATTCATTCGTCCGAGGAAAACCGAGCTGGTCCATCGCAGATTCACACGCGACGCTTGCAACTTTTACTGGCGCAACCATGTTTCTTAGGAGTGCCATTTTCTTGCTTTGCTTTGTCCCGATCCTGGGCTTCCTGTGCCAAGAAAATTCTCCCGTCTACCGCTTCACAATAGGCGACATTCGCGCCACAGTGATTTACGATGGATTTTTGACCTTCACGACACCTCCTTTTTTCGCACCGGTGGAAGACGTCAACGCTTCATACAGCGCATGCTTTCGCTCAATAGACCCTCTTACCCTCTCTCAGAATGTCCTTGTGTTAGACACCGAAGCCGGGCGTGTCCTCATTGATCCGGGAGCTCGAGGAGGCGAAGAAGTTCCGGTCCTGGCCTCAGCCGGTCTCCTTTTCAAAAACATGCGCGCAGCAGGAATTCCTCCAGAGTCTATCGATCACGTTTTTCTGACTCATGGCCATGCAGATCACGTCAGCGGATTGTTGGGCCTGGAAGGTGGTCCGGCATTCCCGAATGCGAAGCTTTATGTTGGAGTCACAGAAAATCGCTTTTGGATGACAGAGCCGCTTCCTATTTCCGAGGACCATCCATTGAGGGACACACTGCGTAAGTTATGCATGCTGTCAAAGGTATCTGATTTACGAAGCTTACTTCTCTCGCAACGAATTAACTGACAGATTCAACATCTATTGTAATTGATGCGAAGTGGGCTTTGCACAAGTCTACCGCGATGGGGTTGCCCCATACGCACCCAGCCTCCAACTAGTTGAGGAAGACAGCTCGCCGCTGCCAGGATTCCGCTTTATGTCCAACACAGGGCACAGTCCTGGTCACAACTATATAGAAGTGGAGTCCAATGGAGAAACCCTCATTGTTTCTGGAGACACGTGGGAGTCAAAGGTAAGCAACACCAGCAACCGGCAAACCCCATTCAATTTTCGAGTATTGTAATATCTTTATTAACTGGTTTTCGATTTTTGTCCACTGGGCTTGGAATTTCCTTTTGCAAAGCCGGATCAACTTCAGAACCCCGACTGGCAGATCGGGACAGAGACAGACCCTCCAATGGCTCGCCGTTCAAGAGTGAAGCTATTAAGGAAGGTTGCTCGAAATAGATCATTGGTTCTAAGTTTCCATGAGGCGTTCCCAGGGCTTGGACATGTTGTCAAAAGCGGGAGGCGTTCTTTTGATTGGGTTGTCGCTCCGCCCAGAAACATCGGAACAGGCGTGGTTCAAAAGTGCTTCTCATGATTGTTATCATTCGATTCTTTTGGTGTTGGTTCGGGAGCATTTCGTTCCTAGTGGTATGGTCGCGTGCTTTCTAAGAAACGGACGGAGGGTCATAAGAGAAAAATCCGTAGATGTGCGAAGTACTTCTGTGGATTGACGGATGGTGCGATATGAATAAAATCTCGCCGGGTGTAAAATGCACCGCAGAAGACAGAGCGAACATAAAGGAGGGTCAGGTAATTAATAAAGGAGAAGCATATCATGGAGCTGTTTGCCATTTGCCTACAACCGCTTACTCTTTGCTCCCAATGCATTAGAACACCTTGCAGTCATACTTTTCACAGGACATGTCTATCTAGAATGATTCAATCCCTACCGGATTGTGCCACAAATAAGAGGCACCCATTCTTTCGTCTTGTGTCTTTGCATCTCTCTCCAGGTTTGGTGGACGTGTCTCATAGAATCCAGCCTGCCGGATGCAATGGAGCATGACGTATTAAACATGCAGGAAGAATGTATAATCCCAAATGACATGAGGGAAAAAAATTCGTTAGTCCCCTGTTCAAATTATTAAAACTATCTGTCGAGGGCGACGAGGGAGGCGGTGAATCTCTCGTCGTGCACGACGCTGTTGCCGGTCAATAGTAGACACCCACATAAGACATGGAACTGACGGAAATGTTGGGCCAAGTAATACGAAGCCAGGTGCGAGATCAGCATGAGCTCGGCGAGCATATGAGTAGTCTTGGAAGCAGTTTGGGTGCAGAGACTTTCACGCTGACGCTGGAGAGAGATATGCGGAATTGCCGGACGGAGTTCTGCCACTAGGGCGTTGTCAGCAGACTCTGACTAGCCTTCTCACTAGCGAGTGTACATACCCAACAAAAATGCCGAGGAGGCTCACCGCATAGATAAATGTTTTGTCATCGGCAGACGAAGAGGGACTTTTCGCGAAGCAGAACGATCTCATCTCGATATTCCAGGCATGAGTGTTATTTATTTTAGCAGGGCACGAATGGTTCGTACCAGGAGGCAATTTATGGACTGCTCACAATACGGTAAATCCCGTAGTCTATCTTCCGGTGGTCGGGAGTTGGGTTTGAGTTGTGAAATTTTTCTCCCTTGCTCGCGATGGATTTGGCTTGCGAAGGTAGGTGCAAATACACGATTTTTCGTCGGAAAGCGACAGAAGCACAATGTTTCGAGTTAGGGATTTTACTGGAGCATTTGATGACCCTGTGCAGTACATGGGCTTTATGCTGTGTTGAGAGATGATCATGGACGCGCAGGTTGCTTGGCAGATTTGAGCAACAACTACGTAAAGTTTATTTGAGGTCGACTTTGTTTGCGCTTAACATCAGAAGAAGACAGAAATAATTCAAAAAGGGACATCTGCCCAACAATTTTTCTTTTAATAAAAAAGGGATGCAAAAATAAATAAATAACTGTATTGTTCACGTGCAGTCCCATCAGAACCTCGACCTCCCCGCCCTGGCCCATCGACTGCTGTACACGTTGCAAAATATATACATTAAATTGAAAGTTATACATCAACTTGGACATGATTTCTTTAATGCACCTGCCCTCCGCAATAATATTTTGCAGAACTTGAGGATGTCGGCTTCGAATACAGCGAAAGCCTGACAATCTAATGCGGTTTAGCGACCAACCGCCTTTCTATACGGGCGTTTTGGCTTGAAGATATCATTATAAACGATTCAAGATTGCTCAGTAAAGCTTCACTGCCAGTGCTTTCTGAAAAAAAACCGGAAAAGACCCGCAGTCCCTACCAAAATTTACCGGAACGCAGTAGCCAAGTGCAGTGACAAGGGTATCTTTCTTCTTCTTATCGAGTGAGCATAAGTCTTGAAAAACTAAGTAAGCGACCCTCAAAACCGTTCACTCGCGCATCGTTCCACAGCTGCTCAGATAGCGTCACTTCACGCCTGCGCCCAAAGCGATGACATCATCGCAGCAGCCGAAGCGGCCGGGAGGCGGCGGAGGCGGCGGAGGCTGCGGGGCGGAAGAAATGACCGTGCCGTGTGACGCTGTAGGCGCGGCGTGACGAGGTGCCATGTGTGGATGCGGTAGTGGTACTACCACGATGCTACCGCATCCACACACGACATCCTCGCCCACCCAACACCTACCACCGTGGTAGGTGTTGGGCCGCGATTTCATTAAATCATGTTTTTGCGCGCAATTGCGCGCAAAAACTGCCAGATAATGTTGCAAAATGAAAAAATCACCACTTCGGCCTTCTTCAAGTGACTCACCGATAATCGCGATCAACCATCCAAATCGAGATCCCCCATGCCTTCCTAGGGTCCCTGTAGCCCATCTCCATCATGGAGATGTAACGTGTAAGTCGTGGCTACCATTGTCTAAAGTCGTTTCTTCATGAAGAATCATGAAGTTTCTTAGTTTCTGCATGAATAAACAAGCAAAAAGCAAAAATGAAAAAACAACCCGAAATCGCGGGTGTTGGGTGGGCGAGGATGTCGACGCTGGGTGCGCTTGTTCGGTGGAAGGTCATTCATGGACAGGCTGGCCTTGTTGAAGGCTACGTTTGGTGGGAAGATAGATTTTTTTGAAGTATTTCATGGATTTTGCTCAAAATCTTGAAAATACTATGCACTATTTACAGTTGTATCAGATGCTTTTCTGGTCATCTTTTCACTCTAAAGCTTTACCCTTCCTGTCTTGGTTTTCGATCGCTGAAACTTCAAAGTGGTTTGGCTGTATGAGCTGCCGTACCAAGGGTACCGTATGCTGGACCCGGTACCACCTCAATTTTATGCCATCCGGCCAAACCGATGAAACATCCTGCAAGCAATGCGGCCTTCACAAGCGTTGCGGCATACCCGACCAACAATGGATGTATGGGTACGTCTGTGATTTGCTTCCTTGCTCATTCCGGGTTTCTGCAGCATCATTATTCCGCCTGCTATCCTCGCTCTCTCTCCAACCTCTTCGAATGCAGTGCGGGCAGCAAGGAGCGTTGCTTCAAAGGCAATTCCGATACTGCTCTGTATTCATCGAGCGTGAAATGGAATTACAAGCGTGAGAGCAGGCTCACCACCTGGTAGTGAAGGGAACCACGACATATCTGAAGCAACGCGTTTGATAATAGATACGAGCAGCGTACAGTAGAAAGTTGCAACAGTTGCCATAATCGTCGCGTTGGTAGGAGCGACATTACCCAGGTTCTTATGGTACTGCAGCAGCATAATACAATATGCAAGTATCGTCGATGAGAGGGGACGCGGCGGAACGAGAGAGACAGTGGAAACGAACCGGAATGCTGCTACAGCCCAGTGCAATGCAGTGCGCTGTTATCAAACGATGCAAACTGATCTTCCTCTTGGGGCACACCGTGCGCATCCTGTCGCTCCGTTCTTTAGAGCAGTTTCTCAAGGCCAATGAATGCAGATGTGGACTAGCACGCGCGCAATGCGTATCATATACCCTACCGTAAGCAGAACCACTTCGAGAGATTCCATTCACTCCCCCCCGGACAAATTTTGCAGGCAAGAAAGCACCAGCGTTGATTCCACCCCGAATCCGAAGCGGACGTCATGCCCAGCCGGGCGACACATGTGCGTTGCAGCGGACTTATCTATCGATACTTGCTGACCGCCAGCGCAGTGTTTGATCTTCCTTTGTCGAAGTGCTCAGTTTTACAGGTTGCGACAGAAGCAGAGAAACAACCCCTTCGGATAGATTACAGGACGAGGTACGCTTTCAATCTGGAACCGATACCGCAATAGAGAACGACTGAGAGGGTTTAATGCGCGCTGACACAGAAGATGAAGAGCACGTAGGCGATATATGTATCGTAGCCACATATACTGTACTGTACAATTGTAGTTGACCGACGGTACTTTACCAGAGGGGTACAAGTTGTAAAGCGATTCGCCTTTCGAAGCTTCCACTCTTTCGATTTTGAACACGCAAAACGATAAAATGCGAGCACCACGGTACAGTGCTATAGCCGTGACGCAATCCGCATTACGTTTGCTCCCCAAGAACATCCTTGGACACCTGCGGACGTCCGCCACCTGCCTTGACAATGTACGGTCATAGGAGTGCATTTCTGTGCCCCAGAAGGGTCAGCAAACTGTTTAGTCTTACGAATGACTGTTGAAGAGCGCATCACAGTACCCAAGGGTACGATATTCGAATGCTGCACTGTAGAATATCCTGCTCACAGGGTGGGCACGATCCGGACAGCGAGCCAGGCGCCATGATAAGCTCGCAATTGGCACCTAGCTGATACAAGTAAGCCACGTACTGTACAACCCACTGTATGTTGCCGAGTGTACCATTGCTGACGTAAAATGCGAGCTCCTCCTCACGAAAGCTATGACGAGTGGGAAGGCGCAGAGAGCAGGAAAATTAGCGGGCCTTGCACTGGGCTAAGTGCGATACGCCCTCTCCAAATGCGACTGTAACCGGTCCGAGAGGATGAGAGAGGGTGGTTAGCACATACTGATTCGTCGATTGTGAATGCATGTTTTGGGAATACACAGATCCGCGGAAAGGCATACAGTAGGGCTGAGAGTAATGCAAGTTAAGGCGCAAAAGTTGGTCTAATTTGTACATATTGCGCCTTCCGAACATCATCCTCTGTACTCCCTCAAGATATTTACCATGCTCAACCTCTCAACTTCTCTTGCCGCTCAAATTCACCACTGGACGGACATCTGGCACACCTCCCTCGAGAGACCCAGCATGGACCCACGTCTTATACATAAATTTACCCCCACCTACTCAACACTATGCACGCAGCAACAGTACTTCACAATACACTACTCTACGCCGGAATCTAATCCCAATAGCGCTTACAAACTGTCATGTCCCTGCCATACCCCTAGCGCGATCCACACTACAGTACCGTACGAGGACACTGCCCCTCACAGAAAACCATGCCTCGCGTAGCGTTTCTTCCTGATCATCGCAGGCAGTTCAAACCAACGCCGTGCTGAGAGCTTTGGCAACAACATTAAGTGTGGGGCGTG